CGCCACAGAAACAAGGTATGCATTCGAGAGCACGCTATTATTAGGGACGGGCAGAGATAGGTTAGGGATAGGCGAGGTAAGAGTAAGGATGGGCGGAATGAGGGGCGAAAGAGCGGAATGCGATAAGTAATTGCGATATGAGAGCGTCAAGTGCGGAACGAAAATATAAAGGGCGAAATGAGATGACGACGGCGGAACGCGAGTCAGAGAGGCGGAATGGTCCCGCATGACGGGCGGAAATATGTGTATACGGGTTGAATGGGAAGAAAAAGGGAGGAAAGGGAGGATGAAGGGCGGAATGACAATAGGGAGCGCGAAACCGTCGTAGCAACGGCGGAATGAGAGTAGGAACGGCGGAATGAGAAAAGGGACGGCGAAAAAAGAGAAGGGCTTAGTGGAATGAGAGTAGGACCGGTGTAACTAGAGGGTGAACGGCAGAAAAAGACCTTGAACGGCTAGAACCAGTAGATGAACGGCGAAATGAGATGATGAATGGCGGATTATAGTAGGGATGTGCGGAAGGAGTGGATGAATGGCGGCATGGGAGAAGGGATGTGCAGTGTGAACTCGGAATGACGGGCGGAAAGGCGATAGAGGGCGGAATGACGGGCGGAAAGGCGATAGAGGGCGGAATGACGGGCGGAAAGGCGATAGAGGGAGGAATGACGGGCGGAAAGGCGATAGAGGGCGGAATGACGGGCGGAAAGGCGATAGAGGGCGGAATGACGGGCGGAAAGGCGATAGAGGGCGGAATGACGGGCGGAAACGCGATAGAGGGCGGAATGACGGGCGGAAACGCGATAGAGGGCGGAATGACGGGCGGAAAGGCGATAGAGGGCGGAATGGGAGGGGGAGATGGTGGAAGAGGGCGGAATGACGGGTGAAATGGCGTCATAGTGCGGAATGGGAAGCGGAGTGGCGAGAGAGGGAGGTTTTGCTGGGCTGAAAGGCAGCCCTTGGAAGTAGGCGAGTCGGGATGACATGCGAGGGCAGAAAGGGAGGGGGAAAGGCGGTAGCGGGCGGAATGGGAGGCGGCATGGGAGGCGGACAGGCGGTAGAGGGCGGAATGGGGGGGTGGAATGGCGATAGAGGGCGGAATGGGAGGGGGAAAGGCGGTATAGACCAGAATGAGATGCAAAATGGCGGGTCCGGGAGGAATGAGATGGCTTTACATGTAAGGTTGGGCGAGGCGGAAAGGCATACTGAAATCGAGAACGAAAAACACGTTACGACAGAATGGGAGGCGGAAAGGCGGTAGATGGCGGAATGGGAGGAGGTTTTGTGAGGCGGCGCGAGAGGGGTATAGGGTAGGAGAAGACCACGGAACGAGCTGTTGTCCAATAACGGGGACGGACGTTGCGCTCATGTGGGAAGAGATATATTGCTGTAAGGGGAAAGGAGGAGTGGTGAGTGGGGGAATGGAGGTGGTGCTATAGGGGGAATGGAGGTGAGGAAAGGAACGGAGGTGAGGTGAGAGGGGGGAGGGTTGTAAGGTCGGGGGGGAAAAGGAGGTGAGGTCAGAGGGGGGAGGGATGTCAGGACGGGGGGGGGGAGGGAGGTTATGCTATAGGGGGAAGGGAGGTGAGTTCAGTGGGGGAAGGGAGGTGAGGTCAGATGGGGAAGGGAGGTGAGGTCAGATGGGGAATGGAGGTAAGGTCAGAGGGGGAAGGGAGGTTATGCCATAAGGGGGAGGGAGGGTGGTTCCGTGGGGGAAGGGAGGTGATGTCAGAGGGGTAAGGGCTGTAAGGTCAGGGGGGGAAGGGACGTGAGGTCAGATGGGAAAGGGAGGTGGGGTCAGAGGGGGGATGGAGGTAACGTCAGAGGGGGGAGGGATGTGAGATCAGAGGGGGGAGGGATGTGAGGTCAGAGGCAGGAGGTAGGTAAGGTCAGAGGTGGGAGGGAGGCAAGGTCAGATTGGGGAGTGATGTGAGGCCAGAGGGGGGAATGGAAGGTGAGGGCAGAGGGTGGAGGGAGGTGAGGTCAGATGGGGGAGGGAGGTATGGTCAGTGGGTGGAGGGAGGTAAGGTCAGAGGGGGGAAGGAGGTAAGGTCAGAGGGGGGAGGGAGGTAAGGTCAGAGGGGGGAGGGAGGTGAGGTCAGTGGGGGGAAGGAGGTAAGGTCAGATGGGGGAGGGAGGTAAGGTCAGAGGGGGGAGGGAGGTGAGGTCAGTGGGGGGAAGGAGGTGAGGTCAGAGGGGGGAGGGAGGTAAGGTCAGAGGGGGGAGGGAGGTGAGGTCAGTGGGGGGAAGGAGGTGAGGTCAGAGGGGGGAGGGAGGTAAGGTCAGAGGGGGGAGGGAGGTAAGGTCAGAGGGGGGAAGGAGGTAAGGTCAGAGGGGGGAGGGAGGTGAGGACAGAGGGGGGAGGGAGGTGAGGTCAGTGGGGGGAAGGGAGGTAAGGTCAGATGGGGGAGGGAGGTGAGGTCAGAGGGGGGAGGGAGGTATACGTCAGTGTAGGAAAGGAGGTAAGGACAGATGGTGTAGGGAGGTAAAGTCAGATGGGGGAGGGAGGTAAGGTCAGTGGGGGAGGGAGGTAAGGTCAGTGGGGGGAAGGAGGTTAGGTCAGATGGGGGAGGGAGGTAAGGTCAGTGGGGGAGGGAGGTAAGGTCAGTGGGGGGAAGGACGTTAGGTTAGATGGGGGAGGGAGGTAAGGTAGGATGGGGGAGGGTCGTAAGGTCAGATGGGGGAGGGAGGAGAGGTCAGATGGGGGAGGGAGGTAAGGTCAGTGGGGGGAAGGAGGTAAGGTCAGATGGGGGAGGGAGGTAAGGTCGAATGGGGGAGGGAGGTAAGGTCAGTGGGGGGAAGGAGGTTAGGTCAGATGGGGGAGGGAGGTAAGGTCAGATGGGGGAGGGAGGTGAGGTCGAATGGGGGAAGGAGGTTAGGTCAGTTGGGGGAGGGAGGTAAGGTAGGATGGGGGAGGGAGGTGAGGCCAGATGGGGGAGGGAGGTAAGGTCAGTGGGGGGAAGGAGGTAAGGTCAGATGGGGGAGGGAGGTAAGGTCAGCGCGGGGAAGGAGGTTAGGTCAGTACGGGGGAGGGAGGTAAAGCAGGATGGGGGAGGGAGGTAAGGTCAGATGGGGGAGGGAGGTAAGGTCAGATGGGGGAGGGAGGTAAGGTCAGATGGGGGAGGGAGGTAAGGTCAGTGGGGGGAGAGAGGTAAGGTCAGATGGGGGAGAGAGGTTAGGTCAGATGGGGGAGGGAGGTGAGGTCAGATGGGGGAGGGAGGTAAGGTCAGTGGGGGGAAGGAGGTTAGGTCAGATGGGGGAGGGAGGTAAGGTAGGATGGGGGAGGGTCGTAAGGTCAGATGGGGGAGGGAGGAGAGGTCAGATGGGGGAGGGAGGTAAGGTCAGTGGGGGGAGAGAGGTAAGGTCAGTAGGACCTTACCCCCGTCCCCCAATCTCCCATCCCGCCATCCTCTTCGATCACCTCCCTTCCCCGCTCTCTTCCCAACATAACGCCCAGTCATACCTACCTCTGCCCCGTCCTATGTCCTCGTCTCCAGGTCCAAGGAAGATGTATCGGTGGGATTCTCGACGGCGTCGTCGGATCCGGCTGGGGTTCAGGATGGGAGTTGAAGGAGAGGAGGATGACGAGGAGGGTATGGAGGGACAGGCGGGATCAACCTCTTCCGTCCCATCCCGAACCGCAAGGAACAACAATGGTGTACCTGGTTGCTCGGTAGTTGCCAGCAGTTGGCGGCCCGTTGAAAGGGTGACCCGACGTAGGGTTGTACAGCCAACTGGGTTGCCGCCACAGCTTTTTTATCCTAAGGAACGTTGGTCCCTGTCTGAGTTTGCCATCGAATGTCCAAAGCAAAGCTCTGTGCTTGAACAGTGGGCCATAAACGAGCTCGGTCTGGGGCAGGAAAGTGGTGATACGGACGAGAGGGTTACTGTTGAGAGTGTCCTGCATATCTGTCTTGGAAAGAACACGCTGGAGGATGCAGATGGGCAACCAATAGTAGCAAAAAACCACCGTTTCCGTTGCTACGTCGAGTACTCCAAACTGTTAGGAGACCACCCGTTTGCACACGTTACATTGCCATGGCTTGTGTACGTAGTCATAGGGTCACTTTACCCAGAGCTTTCAGATGAAGGTTACGTGGGGTGTAGCCAGGCAGATGTAGACTGGTTCACGTCTTGGACAATCCCTAATGAGATTGACTTCACCATGCGCAGCCCCCCGGTGGGCGCGGATGTAGCGAACATGGTCGAGACACAAGAGTCGCGTGTTGTGTGAATATGCATGTTGTAATCCTTGTGTGAGTAAATGCTAGCCATCACGTTTGCTAGTGTGTATGCCACTAAATTGTAGCAAAGTTTGCTCTTCGAAGGAGCAAAGAACATGTATCACTACATCATTACACCTAAACCAGTCAACCCATGCTTGATGTGATGCAGGGTACCACCATGGGGACACTTAGACATACGCAGCTCTCTGCAATTCTCTCCCCCTTGATAAGTAGCGCCGTGCGTCGCACTCTCCCCAAACATGTTTACTGTAGCAGCACGAAGCCACATGACAAAGTTGGTTCCACGCGTAATTAAAACTAGCTTAGCAACTGTTTTGCGTGGTTGTAACACTATAACCGTACATGGGTCCGTATTTCGCCAGCGCCCTCTCTCCTACCACACTTTCACCAACGCCGTTCTCTGCTCCCTCTGCTCAGTTGCCGCCAACGCTGCGAGAGGTGATGGCGGGGGGAAAGGGGGGAGATGGCGAAGGGGGAGGTGGGGTCAAAGAGTAGAGTTGGTCATAAGGAGTCCGGGAGGTGAGTATAGAGGGGGCTTGCTGCCGATGGGTCAGACATGAAAGGGTTGGTGGGTCAATTTGGAGGGGGGGGCGGGGTGCTGCGTGAGGGCAAAGGGGGTTCTGGCAGGGAAGAAATATGTGGTGGCATAGGGGAAAGTATCGTGAGGTCAGATGGGGAAAGGAGGAGAGGTCAAAGGGGGAAAGACGATGGGAAAGAGAAAGGGCGAGATGTTAGCAAAGCGGAAAGGAGGAGAGTTCAGAGGGAGAAAGGAGGAGAGAGCAAACGGGGAAGATAGGTGCGTAGGGGGATGAGGTGGCATGGGGGGACGGCATAGGAGATGGGTTTAGGGGAAAGGGAGGTGCTGAGATGAGGGGAAAGAGAGCACATGGCATGCGGTGCAGAGGGGAGGAGACGAATCGGGGGAAAGGGTGGAGATGGAAAGGACAGAGATGGAAAGGGGAGAATGGAATTTCTGGCAGATGGTGGAAGGGGTGTGAAGGCATGGATGAAGGGTTCACACTGCACAGCAAATAGGATGAATTGAAAGAGGGGGAATGGAGGACAGGCCAGAGAGGGGAGGGAGGAGAGTTCAGCGGGGATGTGTGGTGAGTACAGCGTGGGGAGGGGAGGTGAGTTCATCGGGGGAGGGAAAAGGAGGTGAGGTCAGAGGAGGGAAAGTAGGGTGGTTCTACATATGGAGGGGAGGTGAGATCGGATAGAAAATGAATGTGAGGGAAGGGAGGGGATGAATGTGAGGGCAGAGGGAATGAATGTGAGGGAACGGAGGGAATGAATGTGAGGGAAGGTAGGCAACGAATGGCACGGCAGAGGGAATGAATGTGATGTAAGGAGGGAACGAAGGTGAGGACAGAGGGAATGAATGGGCGGGAAGGGAGGCAACGAATGGCACGGCAGAGGGAATGAATGTGATGTAAGGAGGGAACGAAGGTGAGGACAGAGGGAATGAATGGGCGGGAAGGGAAGGGAGGCAACGAATGGCACGGCAGATGGAATGAATGTGATGTAAGAAGGGAACGAAGGTGAGGACAGAGGGAATGAATGGGCGGGAAGGGAGGGAATGAATGGGAGGGCAAAGGGTATGAATGTGAGGGAAGGGAGGGAATGAATGTGAGGGCTGAGGGAATGGAACTGAGGGCGGAGGGAATGAATGATGTGGCAGAGGGAATGAATGTGATTGAAGGGAGTGAAAGAATGCGAGGGCAGAGAGTATGAATGTGAGGGAAGGGTTTGAAAGAATGTGAGGGCAGAGGGACTGAATGAGAGGGCATAGAGGGAATGAATGTGATGTAAGAAGGGAACGAAGGTGAGGACAGAGGGAATGAATGGGCGGGAAGGGAGGGAATGAATGGGAGGGCAGAGGGTATGAATGTGAGGGAAGGGAGGGAATGAATGGCACGGGAAGGGAAGGGAGGCAACGAATGGCACGGCAGAGGGAAATGAGTTGGGTACAAATATGAAACCCTAGAAAGCTGTACCCCATACTGTCTACCCCACTACAGCCTAGAAAGACTATAGCATATAAGTTCGACAGATGATTGGTTCTGTTTTATGCGATCGCCGCAGTCCAGGGCACATGAGATTTATGCAAACGCCCACCCACAGCATCTCCCTTCCCCCTCTCACAGCTCCTCCCTTCCCCCTCTCACAGCTCCTCCCTTCCCCCACCCACATCATCTCCCTTCCCCCTATCACAGCTCCTCCCTTCCCCCTCTCACATCTCCTACCTTCCCCCACCCACAGCATCTCCCTTCCCCCTATCACAGCTCCTCCCTTCCCCCTATCACAGCTCCTCCCTTCCCCCTCTCACAGCTCATACCTTCCCCCACCCACAGCATCTCCCTTCCCCCTATCACAGCTCCTCCCTTCCCCCTCTCACAGCTCCTCCCTTCCCCCACCCACATCATCTCCCTTCCCCCTATCACAGCTCCTCCCTTCCCCCTCTCACAGCTCCTCCCTTCCCCCACCCACATCATCTCCCTTCCCCCTCTCACAGCTCCTCCCTTCCCCCTCTCACAGCTCCTACCTTCCCCCACCCACAGCATCTCCCTTCCCCCACCCACAGCATCTCCCTTCCCCCTATCACAGCTCCTACCTTCCCCCTATCACAGCTCCTCCCTTCCCCCTCTCACAGCTCATACCTTCCCCCACCCACAGCATCTCCCTTCCCCCTATCACAGCTCCTCCCTTCCCCCTCTCACAGCTCCTCCCTTCCCCCACCCACATCATCTCCCTTCCCCCTATCACAGCTCCTCCCTTCCCCCTCTCACAGCTCCTCCCTTCCCCCACCCACAGCATCTCCCTTCCCCCACCCACAGCATCTCCCTTCCCCCTCTCACAGCTCCTCCCTTCCCCATCTCACAGCATCTCCCTTCCCCCACCCACAGCATCTCCCTTCCCCCTATCACAGCTCCTCCCTTCCCCCTCTCACAGCTCCTCCCTTCCCCCACCCACATCATCTCCCTTCCTCCTCCCTTCCCCCTCTCACAGCTCCTCCCTTCCCCCACCCACATCATCTCCCTTCCCCCTATCACAGCTCCTCCCTTCCCCCTCTCACAGCTCCTCCCTTCCCCCACCCACAGCATCTCCCTTCCCCCACCCACAGCATCTCCCTTCCCCCTCTCACAGCTCCTCCCTTCCCCATCTCACAGCATCTCCCTTCCCCCACCCACAGCATCTCCCTTCCCCCTATCACAGCTCCTCCCTTCCCCCTCTCACAGCTCCTCCCTTCCCCCACCCACAGCATCTCCCTTCCCCCACCCACAGCATCTCCCTTCCCCCTCTCACAGCTCCTCCCTTCCCCATCTCACAGCATCTCCCTTCCCCCACCCACAGCATCTCCCTTCCCCCTATCACAGCTCCTCCCTTCCCCCTCTCACAGCTCCTACCTTCCCCCACCCACAGCATCTCCCTTCCCCCACCCACAGCATCTCCCTTCCCCCACCCACATCATCTCCCTTCCCCCTCTCACAGCTCCTCCCTTCCCCCTCTCACAGCTCCTCCCTTCCCCCACCCACATCATCTCCCTTCCCCCTATCACAGCTCCTCCCTTCCCCCTCTCACAGCTCCTCCCTTCCCCCACCCACAGCATCTCCCTTCCCCCACCCACAGCATCTCCCTTCCCCCTCTCACAGCTCCTCCCTTCCCCATCTCACAGCATCTCCCTTCCCCCACCCACAGCATCTCCCTTCCCCCTATCACAGCTCCTCCCTTCCCCCTCTCACAGCTCCTCCCTTCCCCCACCCACATCATCTCCCTTCCTCCTCCCTTCCCCCTCTCACAGCTCCTCCCTTCCCCCACCCACATCATCTCCCTTCCCCCTATCACAGCTCCTCCCTTCCCCCTCTCACAGCTCCTCCCTTCCCCCACCCACAGCATCTCCCTTCCCCCACCCACAGCATCTCCCTTCCCCCTCTCACAGCTCCTCCCTTCCCCATCTCACAGCATCTCCCTTCCCCCACCCACAGCATCTCCCTTCCCCCTATCACAGCTCCTCCCTTCCCCCTCTCACAGCTCCTCCCTTCCCCCACCCACAGCATCTCCCTTCCCCCACCCACAGCATCTCCCTTCCCCCTCTCACAGCTCCTCCCTTCCCCATCTCACAGCATCTCCCTTCCCCCACCCACAGCATCTCCCTTCCCCCTATCACAGCTCCTCCCTTCCCCCTCTCACAGCTCCTACCTTCCCCCACCCACAGCATCTCCCTTCCCCCACCCACAGCATCTCCCTTCCCCCTCTCACAGCTCCTCCCTTCCCCCTCTCACAGCTCCTCCCTTCCCCCACCCACATCATCTCCCTTCCCCCTCTCACAGCTCCTCACTTCCCACACACAGCATCTCCATTCCCCATATCACAGCTCGTCCCTTCCCCCTCTCACAGCTCCTCCCTTCCCCCACCCACAGCAGCTCCCTTCCCCCTCTCGCACCTCCTACCTTCCCCCTCTCGCTGCTCCTCCCTTCCCCGTTCCGCCTCTCATTCCGCATCTCAAGCCGCCTCTCCTTCCGCCTCTCATTCCGCCCCTCCTTCCGCATCTCACTCCGCCTCTCGCGTCGCCTCTCATTCCGGGTTTCTTTCCGCCCCTCATTACGCCTCTCATTACGCCTCTCATTACGCCTCTCATTACGCCTATCTATTCGCCTCATCCCGCCTCTCAATCCGCCTCTCATCCCGCCTCTCACGCCGCCTCTCGTTCCGCCTCTCGTTCCGCCTCTCATTCCGCCTCTCGTTCCGCCTCTTTTTCCGCCTCTCATTCCGCCTCACATTCCGCCTCTTATTCCGCCTATAATTCCGCCCCTGCTTCCGCACTTCACACCGCCTCTCAGTGCGTCTCTCATTCCGCCGCTCATTCCGCCTCTCACGCCAAGTCTAATTCTGCCTCTCATTGCGCCTCTCCTTACTCCGTATTTAGTTTCGCCCCCCGTTACGCCGCTCAAAACGCCTCTCATTAGGCCGTGTAAAGCCACTTATTACACTACAGCCGTTCACTTAGTGCTCGTAAGGGCCTCGTACTGCGCGGGCCTACGATGTCGACGCGATTCTAGGGGCCCACATTTCTGGCGGGGTAATCTCCCGCAAATTGATTAGGCTCACCTAATCAAGGGTCGGGCGTTTGGGCGATGAAAGCCGGTTCGGGGCAGCGCGGCGTGGGCTGTGGATTGTCTAGGGATAGAGATGGCGGTCTATAGTCTATGACAGGTCGCGTTTTTGTCGAATGCGAATGAGATTGTAGCAGTGTAGGTCGTGATGGGCATACGAAGTGTGGGGCATCGAGGTTTTGGGTGAGGCTTTCTAACCACTTTGCGTTCGTCGTGCTCCAGTCGGGGACATGTGTCCAGGGAGGTAAAACACTTGGTGCAGAGTGCCTTCTGAGATATTGACGAGTTCCCAGTCTCATATTTCTGAGCTGTGTACAACGCTTGGTTTGCAGCGACGAGAGGGCGACGGTCCCGTTGTCGCACGATGAGCGCATTCTCAGCTTTGTTTGTCGCGCAGGTGAGTTTGCCAACCCAACCTGCTTTGGCGTATTTGCTCACCCAATTACAGTGCACGTTGCAAACCCAAACCACCCCACCCACACTTTCCCGACTCAACCCTTGCCTGGGTGTACTTTGCGACAAAGCAGTCTGTTACCCTATATCAAGCGTTTAACACTTGGATGGAAGGGTGTAATTGGAGACGCGAGCTTTAATGTTTGCGACAATCGCACACACGAAAATTACGTCTTCTCAAGCACCATCCAACGGAGGGACCGTGGTTGACACTCCAGCTGTCGCATATTTCCTCCCCTCGACACAACACCTCTCTGTTGTGGGGGTGGCTGCTGTGGTGGGTGGGGCAAAAAAACGGATCTGTGAACAACCTGCCCCCCTTGCCAGTCGCTGCATTTCTTTTATCCTGCACAATTGAAGTAAAATACCGGAAGCCAGGGCTCCGTAAGTGCCCTTCCGTAAGACTAAGTATAGTCGTGACTGACCAGCTTCCGTAAGTGCGTTCCCGTTTTAATCTCCTAGCACAGTTAGCGCCTGTCGGGTGCGACTCGCTCGTCGCGGAGGGAAGAACAGCGCGAAGCGCGCAAAGCGCGTGACGACGTTGCAAACTTTTGCCACATCGTCGCACGATGGGCGGTTACTCGCTTGTCGACATTCCCGAGGCAGCGGGCGGCGGGGATGCTCCGACCAAGGTACGCGCAGCTGCGCGCAGGCGCGGATCTAGCAGCAGCGCTAGGAGGGACGCGAGGCGGGCGAGGGGCTGAGAGGGCGGCAGCGTGGGCGGATGGAGGGGCGGGGCAGCAGCGGGATGCGCTGACTTGGTGAAGATGCCGCCACATCCGCCCAGGCGCGTGCGGCAGAAAATCGCTCGATGCGTGCTGGGTGCTCGATGCGAGTTAGGTGCTTGATGCGCGTTAGGTGCTCGATGCGCGTTAGGTGCTCGATGCGCGTTAGCAGGGCGGCCATGAGGAACCTAGCAGCAGCTGTCTCTCTCCCACCCCATCCTCTCGGCTGTCCATCCGTCCGTCCGTCTGTCCCTCCGTGTGTGTCCCACGGCACCGGATGAACCTACACTGCCGCTCCTCGCCGCCTTGATAAACCCTCCCCTCCCTCGCGCACCTTTCCTGCCTCACGTGCGCATCACCTCGCCGCCGTCGAGCTTTTTTTAGCTCTTCTATCCGTTGCACTACATCGGCTGTCCTGCGGCACCATTCGCTCACTTCCGCCGCCTCCCCTCTCTTCCCCCCTTCCCTCTCTTCCCCCCCTCCCTCTCTTCCCCACCTCCCTTCTCTCCCTCTCTCCCTGCCCGTACCTCCCGTCGCTGCAGCCAGGGGAGGCGGAGGAGGCGCAGCGCAAGGCGGGGGGGACGTGCGGGCGCGTGGTGTGCTGCTCGCTGTGCGTGCTGCTGCTGCTGCTCGCCGTCGCCGTCGCCGCCTCCGTCTCCGCCTTCGTGCTGTACCAGCCCAGGGTGAGATTGGGGGGATGCGACAAAAAAAAAAAAAAAAAAAAAGTGGACAATTGGGGGAGGATTGAACCACGATGATGTGGCTATGATGATGGTAGCATGTGATGATGGTAGCATGTGATGATGGTAGCATGTGATGATGGTAGCATGTGATGATGGTAGCATGTGATGATGGTAGCATGTGATGATGGTTACCATGTGATATTGGTACCATGTGGTGATGAGCTTGTGATGATGGCCCTATTGCATGCCCCACCTCCCCCCCTACAGGCGCCAGAGTTCTCAGTGGGGGGCATCGCCATCACACAACTCGCACTCACACCGCTGCTGCCGCCCTCCCAGCCGGTTCAGCCATCACTGCTGCCTGCCGCCGCCCCCTCCTCCTTGCCCTCTCCCACTCTTCCAATCCCTGGAAACGTTCCCCTCCCTGGCAACATGAATCTGCCCGACAACGTCCCTCTCCCTGCAAACATGTCCCTCCCTGGCAACATGTCTCTGCCGTCCTTGACTGCCCCGCTGCCCGCCAACCTCACACTCAACACCGCTCAGGTCGCTGCTGCCGTCAAAGCTGCCGCCGCTGCTACCACCCTCCCTGCCAACTCCACCCGCCCCGCCTCCCCTGCTGCTGCTGCCGCCGCTGCCGCCACCTCTAAATACCTCTCCCCGCTCGCCTCATCCCCGTTATTAACATCTCCACTTCTTGCCAACGCGAACATCACGATCCACGCGCCGAGCAGCATGACTCTATTGGGCCTGCTGGCAGCGCGGGAGGCGGAGCTGGATGCAGAGCTGACTGTGACGGTGGTGGCGGGCAACAGCAACCACGTGGGCATCTCCTACGAGTACATCTCCATCACTGCTCGCCACCTCGGCACCGACGTCGGCAATGCCTCGGTGCGTGGCTGGCAGGGGGCAGTGGGCAGGGGGCAGTGGTGCGCATGCATGCATGCATGTGGCATGGAAGGGTGGCGGGTGTTTGAGATTGTGATTGGCGAATGGTTGCTGCCCGTCCCCTCATCCCACTCGATGTCTCTCTCCTGCCATCCACATGCCTCCCGCTTCAACCATCTCCCGTTGCAATTCAAATCCCTTCCCTCCCCACCCTACTGCACCCAATGCAATGCACCACATCCCAGCGTTCCACATTCTAAACAGCTTCCCTTCCCCCCCACCTCCTCTCTTGGCACCAATGCGTGTGCTCCAGATACCGGCGTTCCACCAGCCACCGCGCAGCAACACCACGGTGGAGGGCCACGTGCACCTCACCCGCCTGCCCCTGCACCTCCTGCCGCCACCCTCCTCCTCCTCCTCGCCCCTCTCCGCCTCAACGCTCTCCCGTGACGCCCTCTCTGCCCAATCCACTCTGCCACTACAGGTGCTGCCCCCCACCCCTCCCTCCTTCGCTCCCTCCCTTCCGGCCTCTCTCCCTCCGTCCCTCCCTCCGCCCCTCTGTCCGTCCCTCCATCTCTCCCTCCCTTCTTCCCTCCCTCCCCCTCTCCCTCCCTCTTGCTCCCCCATCCATCTCCACTCTGCTTGCGTGCTGCTCCCTCACCCTCTCACCTCACATTCAAACCTTTTTTCGACATTCTCTCAGTGCTCAAGTATATGTTCTCCTCGTTTCTGCTGCACTCGCCTGCTCTCTCCATGTATCCCCCTTCCATGCCCGCTGCTGAAACAAGGCTATTCCGTCCCACCACATGCCAACGCAACACCACCAACACAGCTATTCACACTAATATGCTCCTCCTCTCTCTGCTGTATGTTGCTCTGGCATCCCCCCTCGCATCTTTCGCCTGTTGTCTTCCACTCCTGCAGCTGGCAATAGAGGCGAGAGCCAACGTGGACGTTTATAATATCGGAACTCCTTATGTCACGGTATGTTCTGGCTTATATATTCTGCCCTGTTTCTGTTTCTTGCCATTACGGCTCTCATACTAGATAATGTCCGTCTTGTTGCTTCACATAGCCATGGCTGCATGCATGCTTTCTTGTGTGCTCTGGTGTTATTCCCTTCTCTTCCCACACACGCAGGTCAATCTACTGTGTGACATGGAAGTCAACATCGCACTGCAGCGTGTGGACAACACAACATGTAGCCTAGAAAGCATTCACTTATAATACGGAATATTTGATCTTACGGAGGAACTCATGCTGTATAATTAATTTGTGTTTCATAAATATGCGTTTTGGGTATGCTCCAACAAGTCACTTAGGCGGGGAAACTTGCGTTCTTGTACTGTGTAAGGAATTTCCTTGATATTCCTTAGCGCGCCTTGCAACATCGCGTACAGCAGCAGCCGTTGTTCGCCCGTTACTGCTAACGGGGCTTCGCCGACTTCGCGCGCACTGTTTCACCAAACCTCGCACTGCTGGCCTGGCCGTGTCGGCCTACGCTTCGGGACTAGCCCGAGCCTCGCTTCCAGCATAGCACTAGCTAGCTCGCACGCACCGCGTTACCGTTTGCATGTTTCGCGTATGAATGTTCGCTCATGCCTTCGCTCACATTTTTGTACTCGTTTGACACCTTAGTGCAATTCTCGCTACTTCGATTCATTGCATCCGTAACACTTGGTATTCAGAGCCTCTTTCCTTTTCGGACCGCGCATCTCCGCACCCCAGGAAATCAACTTTTGATTTTTCACTCGAAGGGACTCACGCACCTTAGCACCTAGGAGCCGCTGTCCTCGCGTTCTCTCGTAAACGCGTGCAGCCACGACTGCACCTAGACTAAGACGAGCCGACGCCCTTCGAAATGGCCGAACATATCGACGTCACTAACCTCACGCAGGACCGCCTGGACGAGTTGCTGCGACAGCTGCACGAAAACTCCGAAGAAATCGCGGCATTAACGGCGGAACGTACCTCCCTGCAAAATGACCTCGCACGAACACAATCCCAAGCACCTGGCACTCCGATTCAGCCCGCACCACAGACATCGCAACACGGAAGTGTGGGGCAACCCGCGAGCGCCGCAAGTGATGGCGTCGTCCGCCATGACGGAGACGACGGCCACGGCACGACACACCCCGATGCGACGAATGCGGCCAGGAATCAGCCTCGAGTCACGATTTCAGTGCCGGCCGGCGAATCAGCTCTTCTGTCGCCGATGCCGCTAAAGCCGCAGCGTCCGCCGTGCTTTGACCCAAGTCAGCGGGGTGGCCCTACCGTTCAGGCGTGGCTTTTCACATTGAACGTTTTCTTTGACGCGAACTACGTCTCGGAGGATACGGCGAAGATTCGTTACGCCGTGTCGTTGCTGCGAGGACCCGCCATGGACTGGTGGCGTGTCATCGTCACGAAGTCGGTGGACTACGCAACTCTACCGACACGGGAAGGACAACCCGGACCCTGGGCGCCGTCGTATTTCGTGGAGGTGCCCCAGTATCGCACGTGGGACGCGTGGTGCGCAGGTCTGCGCGCTTGTTTCGAGCCGATTGCGGCTTCGATCGCGGCGCGACAGAGGCTCCGCACTTGGCGCCAACTCAGTTCCGTCCAGGACTACACGAGTGGATTTCTAGCGCTATGCGAGCAAGTGGGATACATGCATGAGAGCGAGCCCATCGACCGCTACATCGGCGGCCTGAAGCAGGACATCGCTCAGGAAATCCAGCTTCGCGGCGTCACCGATTTTCAGGAGATTCTCGCCATGGCGGAGAAGCTCGATTTCTTCCGCCGACCGAGACCGGGGTCCTACGGAAGCAGCAATTGGGGACATCGGCCTTGTGGGACGAAGGAGGGCGCTACGATACGTGCCGTCACCGCAAATGCCGCTGCCGCACCATTCAAAGGGCGCTGCTTTGCGTGCAATCGGCCGGGACACCGTAAGAGCGAATGCCCGGAAAATGCTAAGGGAAAGGGGGAAGCTGAGCAGCAAAAACAGACCAAGCAGCAGGGAAACGCTGGGAGTCAGTAGCAGACAGGCCCTCTACTGACAGGTCACGCCGCTCGCCCGACCCAACCGACCCTCACCGAGTGATTGTGCCGGTTCACGCAATCGACCACACCCGGCCGAATAGGGGTACTACGGTAGACAGCCCTATACTGCTTAGTGGGAAAATCGGGACGGACTTAGTTAAAATATTCGTAGACGGAGGGGCCAGCCACAACCTTATCAACACTGCCACAGCACGAAAACTACGACTGCCACTGGACAGGTGTGTCAGACATATATGATTTAGCCTATGTAGGCTGTAGCGGGTTAGATTCTAAGGGGTACACAATTCTAGGGTTGCATATTTGTATCACACACTTTCCTAGTTCATTCATTCCTCATTTCTTCACATGGTATAGAGCGGGTTCCCTAGTGGGACCGTTTCTTCCTAAGGGCCCACCTTCAAAAAAAAAATTTTAGCCTGCCCGAAACGCGCTTCGCGTCCTGCCCTAAAATTTCGCGGCCCCTTAGTGGCCTGCCCCTTCACGGCCCCTTAGTGGCCCCTTCGCGGATCCCTTAGCGGCCCCTTTTGCGGCCCCTTCACGGCCCCTGTCGCGACCCCTTAGCGGCCGCTCGCGGCCCCTCTCAAGGCCCTTCGCGGCCCTTCGCGGCCCTTCGCGGCCCCCTCTCACGGCCCTTCGCGGCCCCCTCGCGGCCCTTCGCGGCCTCCCCTCACGGCCCTTCGCGGCCTCGTCGCGACCCTTCGCGACCCCTTTGCGGCCCCTCCGCGGCACTTCGCAGCCCTTCGCGGCCCTTCGCGGCCCCTTCGCGGCCCCTCCGCGGCCCCCCCTCGCGGCTCTTCACGGCCCCTTTGCGGCCCCTCCGCGGCTCTTCGCGGCCCTGCCGCCCCGTCGTCGCCGCCCCAGCAGCAGCTGCCGTCGCGCCTGCTGCCGCTGCCGCTTCCGCCCCGGCCGTTCGCCGCCGCCGCCCCTGCCGTGACAGCCGCCGCCGCTGCTGCCGTGACAACTGCCGCCGCCCCTGCCGTGACAGTTGCCGCCGCTGCTGCTGAGACAACCGCCGCCGCCGCTGCCGTGACAGCCGCCGCCGCCGTCCATCGCGGCCGCCGCTGTTCCTTGCAGCCGCCGCCGCCGTCCCGGCCCTACCCTGCAGACGAGTGGCGGCCCTCCTCTGCCGCACTGTCGCGGCCCTGATCCTGCCTGCGCACCTCGGCCCTGCCCCACCACTTGCGGGCTTCTACCCACCCGCCCCTAGTAAGCGCACCGCCGAGCCGCGCCCCTCCTGCTGCTGCTACTGCTAATCTGCTTCTGCTTCTGCTGCTGCTGCTGTCATGGCTACCCCCAACGTTCTTACCTTTGATGCTGAGGGTCGAGCGGTAGACTTTGAGGTCTGGATACATGATCTGCAGCTTTTCCTACAGTGCGATAGCAAACACGACCTCTCACTGTTCGATCTCACGTCTGGCGCCTCTACTGCCCCTGCTGCCGATGCTGACAGTACTGTTTGCTCACAGTGGACCACACGCGATGCTGCTGCCCGTCTTGCTGTGCGTAGTCACCTGCCGTCCACTGAGCGCGCGCACTTTAGCCAGTACAAGACTGCTAAGACCTTGTACGACGCTGTAGTTGCACGCTACTCCTCCCCTGCCACTGCTGCCCTTAGTCGCCTCATGCTGCCGTACCTGTTCCCTGACCTCGCCGCCTTTGCCACAGTCGCTGACCTCATTACGCACCTCCGCACTAGTGACACCCGCTACCGCGCTGCGCTTCCTGCTGAGTTCTGCGCCAAGAACCCCCCCCCTATGTACATCACCCTCTACTACCTAGTCACCCGACTCCCTGACTCCCTTCGCTCGGTCAGAGACCACTTCCTCTCTCTTTGCCCCACCACACTCACCGTTGACCTCCTCGAGGAGCGCCTCCTTGCAGCTGAGAAGAGTATAGTCGCTGTAGGAGCCTCTCGTGGTGACCCTCGTGCCCCTTTCTTTGAGGGGTGTTCCCCCGTCCCTCTTTTGCCCTCTGTTGCCTCTGCTGCTGCTGTCGACCTCGTTGGCACCGAGTCGGTCGGCGCTGCGTCTGCCCCTAGCGGGAGGCGCCGCAACGGCAAGGGCAGGGGGGGCAAGGGGGCTGGGGGAGCGGGCGGGGGCGGTGGTGGTGGCGGTGGGGGCGGCGGAGGGGGTGGGGGTGGCGGTGGGAGTGGTGGCGGGGGTGGGGGCTCTGGTGGCGGCGGTGGCGGCGGTGGCGGAGGCGGCGGTGGCGGAGGCGGCGGTGGCGGCGGTGGCGGCGGTGGCGGCGGCGGCGGTGGGGCTGGTCGGGGTGGCTCTGTGCAGCGGGGAGGCTTCGGTGGTGGTCAGCGCCAGCAGTAGCAGCGCACTCGTGAGACCCCTCCCCCCCAGCAGCTTCGTGAGTGGTACGCTGCGCGTCAGCGAGGTGGGGGTGCTGGTCCCTGTGCCTACGTGCTGCGTACCGGCGACCGCACTGGCGAGCCGCGCGGCGGCCCGCACACCACCCAGCGCTGCTTTGGCCGCCTGACTGACGCCTGGCGTCTCCAGTTCCCTGACTCCTCTGAGATCCCTCGCTAGGGTGATTTGCTCAAGTCGGGTGTAGCTATCTTTGATCTTGACTATGATGCTATTCATTGCTGCCATGTATGTTGTGTCTACTAGTGATGAGGGTGACTGTTACCTGTGTGTTCCGCCTGACCCGGGCATTGCAGCTGCTGCTCTAGGTGCTCGCGAGTCCGCTGCTCCAGGTACTAGTGAGTCTGCTGCTCCACGTGCTGGTGAGTCTGCTCTCTCAGGTACCACGTCTAGTCAGGCTTTGCACACCTTCACCCTTGACTCGGGTGCTTCTCGCTCCTTCTTTCGAGACCGCACCACCCTCACGCCGCCCAGTCGGCCGGTTGCGGTCTCCCTGGCAGACCCCTCTGGGGGTTCTGTCCTTGCCCACTTCTCCACTGTACTACCGTGTCCAGCGGCCCCATCTGGCTCCCTGTCAGGTCTTTACCTCCCCTCGTTCTCTACGAACTTGGTGAGCGGTGCTGACCTGCAGGATGGGGGAGTTGACCAGTTCACTCCTGCGAGTCAGCGGGTGACCCACTGCACGTGTGCTCGGACGGGCCGACACTTGGCTATGTTTACCCATCAGCCGGGGTCGAGCCTGTACACACTGACTACCGAGTCTTCTCCGGTTGCTGCATCTGGTCAGGTAGCTGCGTCAGGTCAGGTGTT